GGCACCCCACCCCAAGTGACCTTGGCCAGCTTCTCCCTTCACATGGTCCTTCTAGATAGACCGTAGGCACTTCATTCAATATATATTCTGGACACACCTCGAATACAGTGCTGTGAAAAAAGTATTTGACCACTTTCTGATATTTTATTTTTTTTTTCATATTTGTCACACATAAATGATTCAGATCATCAAACACATTTTAATACACACAAAGATAACCCGTGTAAATACAAAATGCAGTTTCTAAATGAGGATTTCATTTGTTGAAAGAAAAAAGCTGTCCAAACCTGCCTAGATTTATGTGAAACGTAATTGCCCCCCTACACCTAACAACTGGTTGTGCCACACTTGGCGGCAATAACTGCAATCAATGGCAATGAATCTTTCACATCGCTGTGGAGGAATGTTGGCCCACTCTTCTTTGCAGAATTGTTTTAATTCAGTCACATTGGAAGTTTTTCAAGCATGAACGGCCTGTTAAAGGTCATGCCACCACATCTCAATAGGATTTAAGTCTGGACTTTGACTAGGCCACTCCAAAACCTTAATTTTGTATTTTGTTTTAGCCATTCAGAGGTGGACTTGCTGGTGTGTTTTGGACAATTTTTCCCCTGCATAACCCAAGTGCTCTTGAGCTTGAGGTCAAAACTGATGGTCGAACTAGATTTTCCGGTAGAGCACAAAATTCATGGTTTCTTCCATTATGGAAGTCATCCAGGTCCTGAAGCTGCAGTCCCATCACACTACCACCACCATGTTTGACTGTTGGTATGATGTCCTTTTTATGAAATGCTCTGTTCGTTTTATGCCAGATGTAACAGGACGCACACCTCCCAAAAAGTTCAACATTTGTTTCATTACTCCACAGAATATTTGCCCAAAGGTCTTGGGGATAATCAAGATGTTTTTTGGCAAATGTGAGATGAGCTTTTGTGTTCTTTTTGGTCAGCAGTGAAACTCTCCCATGGAGGCCATTTTTGCCCAATCTCTTTCTTATTGCTGAATCATGAACACTGACCTTAACTGAGGCAAGTGAGGCCTGCAGTTCTTTTGATGTTGTTCTGGGTTCTTTTATGACCTCCTGGATGAGTTGTCATTGTGCTCTTGGAGTAATCATGTTAGACCGGCCACTCCTGGGAAGGTTCACCACTATTCTGAATTTTCTCCATTTGTAGATAATGGCTCTCACCATGGTTCACTGGGGTCCCAAAGCCTTAGAAATGGCTTTGTATCCCTTTCCATATTAATACATGCCAATTACTTTGTTTCTCATCTGTTTTTTAATTTCTTTAGGTCACTTTATCAGACATCTTCTGAACAAGGGAATCCGTCTCCTGAAATGCGTTAACCTATCCCTATAAGGGTCTATTATTCCACTGGACTGACATTACGGATATCTGCTCTGTTTTTATTCTCTTTGGTTTGTGAGTATACATATATATGTTTTCCAAATAAATTTGTGGTGTACCACAGTAATGCACGATGAGAGTGCACCCTTGTAAGCTTTTGTTAGACAGCTTCCATTTAAGTGATTTCTTGGTTCAACGGGTCTGGCAGTAATCAGGGTGTGGCAAGTGAAATTCAACTTTCCAAAAAATGTGGCTAATCACAGTTCATTTATGATTTAGCGGGGGGGGGGGGGGGGGGCAAATTACTTCTTCACATATGGCCAGGCATCATTTAAGAACTGCATTTTGTATTTACTCAGGTTATCTTTGTGTAATATTAAAGTTTGTTTGATGATCTTAATCATTTAAAAAATATGAAAAATAAAAAAAATTAAAAATCAGGAATGGGCAAATACATAGGAAGCTGTATTTTGACCTCTGTGTGTGATAATGTCATCCAAACCTCATCCCTACATGTTTCATCATAAGGTCACATGACCATCAGAGAGTGATTCTCAAATTTTCTCACAAAAAGTGTGAGGAAAACCTAAATGTTATGGTTGTGGCTGGAACACTTGTGCTGGTGAAAACCATGAGGAGGTTTTCCGTCATATTCTGTTGTATCTTCAAGACAGGATACAAAAAGGAAATCTCCCCAAAAGGCACACAGACAGCACAAAAAAATTACAGGGGTTCAAACTTCAAAATCTGAAAAAAAAAGCCACAGGTGTAAAAAATCAAGTACCTAAGCATGCAGACTTCTTCTACAAACATTGGTGAAAGAATGGGTCGCTCTCAGGAGCTCAGTGACTCCAAGCGTGGTCCCGTGATAGGTGGCCACCTGTGAAATAAGTCCATCCGTGACATTTCCTGGCTACAAAATATTCCACGCTCAACTGTTAGTGGGATTATACTAAAGTGAAAGCAACTGCGAACAACAGCAACTCAGCCACCAAGTGGTAGACCACATAACATGACAGAGCGGGGTCAGCGCATGCTGAAGCGCACAGTGTCAGAAGTCACCAACTGTCTGCAGAGTCAATAGCTAAAGACCTCCAAACTTGGTGTGGCCTTCAGATTAGCACAACAGTGTGTAGAGAGCTTCATGGAATGGGTTTCCATGGCCGAGCAGCTGCATCCAAGCCTTACATCACCAAGTGCAATCCAAAGCGTCGGATGCCGTGGTGTAAAGCATGCTGCCACTGAAATCTAGAGCAGTGGAGACATGTTCTCTGGAGTGACAAATCATGCTTCTCTGTCTGGCAATCTGATGGACGTGTCTGGGTTTGGCAGTTGCCAGGAGAACGGTACTTGCCTGACTGCATTGTGGCAAGTGTAAAGTTTGGTGGAGTGAGGATTATGGTGTGGGGTTGTTTTTCAGGGGTTGGGTTTGGCCCCCTAGTTTTGGTGAAGGGAACTCAAGGCGTCAGCATACCAAGACATTTTGGACAATTCATGCTCCTAACTTTGTGGGAAGAGTTTGGAGATGGCCCCTTCCTGTTCCAACATGACTGCGCACCAGCGCACAAAGCAAGGTCCATAAAGACAGGGATGAGCGGTTTGGGGTGGAGGAACTTGATTGGCCTGCACAGAGTCCTGACCTCAACCTGATAGAATACCTTTGGGATGAATTAGAGTGCAGACTGCTAGCTAGGCCCCCTCACCTGACATCAGTGCCTGACCTGACAAATGTGCTTCTGGAAGAATGGTCAAACCTTCCCATAGACACCCTCCTAAAACTTGTGGACGGCCTTCCCAGAAGAGTTGAAGCTGTTATAGCTGCAAAGGGCGGGGCCAACTCAATATTGAACCCTACGGACTAAGACTGGGAGGCCATTAACGTTCATGTGCGTGGAAAGGCAGGCCGACCAATACGTTTGACAATATAGTGTATATACAGTACATGTATCAAAATTAACATGTAATAATTAAGAGCAATAGGATAAAAATGTTTATTTACGTTAATAGAATATCTTACTTCCTACAGATGACTTGATCTGGCCTCTGAGTGAAGGTTAATTGGGGAAATTCCTTCTCCACATGAAGGGATAATACTGCTCCTGCCATTATATCCCCATCCCAAGATACGCCCATCTGATCCGAAGAGTCCAAGGTGCATGCAGGTCCATTAGAAGACAATACCTGAATGATATAATACTGGACGATGTGCCAGAGTGACTTGTAGAACAGTGCAGTACACCTTGTAACACAAACATAACAAACATATTTCATCTTCTCATTACAGATCACTTAAAGGGAACATTTTATAGTCTAGATCAGCCTTTCTCAAACTTTTAAAACATACAAACCTTGAAATAACGTTCTGGTCTCAGGGAACCCCTGACAAAAAAAACATACTATATCTACAACTCATGATCTATTAGTGTGGTGATAAGTGAGAAGAATGTTCCTTACATTGGGAAGGATTCCCCCCTTACAGATAGCTAAAAAGATCAACGGCTGAGAGGTAGAAATAGCTCATTGCTCAGCAGGAAACCCCTAGCACCCTCTGAAGAACCCTAGGATTCCATGCCACCCTGATTGAGAAACCCTTGTTGCTGTTTTATATTTTTTAATTTTGATAAATGTATCTTGAGGTGATTGTAGCCGTATTAGTGCATTTGCGACAGAAACAATTGAGTACTGACGTGATATTTTTTTTATTTGAACTAACATACAATTTTGAGGACAAGCTTTCAGGGTATATCCCCTTCTTCAAGGTCCAGGCAGAATGTTAGAAGAGATGTTGAAAGGGGGAGAAAAAAAAACCAGAAACACACACAAACATATGTACACAGCAATGGTTATAAGACTAGGATTAGACTAGAGATAAGACACAGCAAAAGCAAAGACTGGGGGGGACAACACTCACAGAGGGGGTCGTAAAACTGTTGGATAATGAGTGAGGAATCCCATGTCCAAATTCAGGCCGTTATCTCTTGTGTCAAATAGAATTATCATTCTTAGTTCAAAATTTTTCCTTTCCTGAATAGTTTTGAAATTTCCTTTAAAAACTAAAATATTGAGGTCTCCCATTCTGTGGTCTGGTTGTGCGAAATGGTGTTCCACAGGTGTGCAAAAGTCATCTTCTTTATGTTCCTTGATGGTATGTCTGTGCAAATTCATCCTTGTTTGCAATTTCTGTCCTGTTTCGCCAACATAAGATCCTTTGCTGCATTTTCTGCACTGGATAAGGTACTCAACATTACTAGAAGTGCAGCTGTATGAGCCGGAGATATTGAAGATCCCTTTTGAGTGATGACTTTTGCACACCTGTGGGACACCATAAGGAAGATGACTTTTGCACACCTGTGGGACACCATAAAGAAGATGACTTTTGCACCCCTTTGGGACACCATAAAGAAGATGACTTTTGCACCCTTTGGGACACCATAATAGAAGATGACTTTTGCACACCTGTGGGACACCATAAAGGCGATGACTTTTGCACCCCTTTGGGACACCATAAAGAAGATGACTTTTGTACACCTGTGGGACACCATAAAGAAGATGACTTTTGCACACCTGTAGGACACCATAAAGACGATGACTTTTGCACCCCTTTGGGACACCATAAAGAAGATGACTTTTGCACCCCTTTGGGACACCATAAAGAAGATGACTTTTGCACACCTGTGGGACACCATAAAGAAGATGACTTTTTGCACACCTGTGGGACACCATAAAGAAGATGGCTTTTGCACCCCTTTGGGACACCATAGAAGATGACTTTTGCACCCCTTTGGGCACCATAAAGAAGATGACTTTTGCACACCTGTGGGACACCATTTCGCACAACCAGACCACACTATGGAAGACCTCAATATTTTAGCTCTTGAAGGAAATTTCAAAACTATTCAGGAAAGGAAAACGTTTGAACTAAGAATGATAATTCTATTTGACACAAGAGATAACGGCCTTAATTTGGACATGGGATTCCTCACTCATTATCCAACAGTTTTACGACCCCCCCTGTGAATGTTGTCCCCCCCCAGTCTTTGCTTTTGCTGTGTCTTATCTCTAGTCTAATCCTATTCTTATAACTATTGCTGTGTACATTTGTTTGTGTGTTTCCTTCTGGGGTTTTTTTCTCTCCCCTTTTCAACATCTCTTCTAACATTCTGCTAAAACTTTGTGAAGTAGTACTGCCTGGACCTTGAAGAAGGGGATATACCCTGAAAAAGCTTGTCCTCAAAATTGTATGTTAGTGCAAATAAAAAACGTATCACGTCAGTACTCAATTGATAAATGCATCTAATATTTGTTTTGCACATAAAAAAGGTAACAAATGACCAAAGGATATTCCAAGCTTTGTCAAAAGAAAGAACACAGTAGGCGCCGCCTGCTTTGAGTTTATATTTGTCTGACTAATAGATCTGATACATCTGTATGTGGGTGGAGCAACTACTTTGATAATGCAGATTTGAAAATGTAGATTTGTAATTTTTAAAGACATACAGTATATTTGAAATGTATTTTTAAAAATATGTTTTTCCATATATTTTGAAATAAAAACGCATTTCAACATGCAGTATATATTTTTGTTGAAATATATTTTGAAATATATTGAATACGGCCAAAATTGTAGTGTTTCAAATATAGGTCAATATATTTAGGAAGAATATTTTTAAAATATATTTAAAATATAGAGATTTGCTGCACATTGCGTTGCTGAAAAGTTCTCTCTAATTTTAATCAACTTAAAAGAGAATATGTATTAAATATAAACGATGGAACTGAGATGCTGTTTTGTACTATGAATGGTGTTTCTGTTAAAAGAGAATATTTATTAAATAAAAACAATGGAATTGAGATGCTGTTTTGTACTATGAATGGTGTTTCTGTTAAAAGAGAATATTTATTTAAAAACAATGGAATTTGCTGTTTTGTACTATGAATGGTGTTTCTGTTTTACAATTTTATTTTATTTTACAATTTTTTTTTTTTTTTTAATTCAGAAAGAGCACATTGAAACAATGAAGTTATAGCTTTGCTGTACATTAAGGTGCTGAAAAGTTCTCTCTAATTTTAATCAACTTAAAAGAAAATATTTATTAAATATAAACAATGGAAGTGAGATGCTGTTTCTGTTTCTGTTATTACAATTTTTTGTATTTATTTATTTTTGAAATTCAGAAAGAGCACATTGAAACAATGAATTTATAGCTTTGCTGCACATTGCGGTGTTGAAAATTTCTCTCTGATTTTAATCAAATTAAAAGTGAATATTTATAAATAAAAACAATGGAACTGAGATGCTGGTTTACTATGAATGGTGTTTCTGTTATTACAATTTTATTTTATTTTACAATTTTTTTTTTTTTTTTTAATTCAGAAAGAGCACATTGAAACAATGAAGTTATAGCTTTGCTGCACATTAAGGTGCTGAAAAGTTCTCTCTAATTTTAATCAACTTAAAAGAAAATATTTATTAAATATAAACAATGGAAGTGAGATGCTGTTTTTATACTATGAATGTTGTTTCTGTTATTACAATTTTTTGTATTTATTTATTTCTGAAATTCAGAAAGAGCACATTGAAACAATGAATTTATAGCTTTGCTGCACATTGCGGTGTTGAAATTTCTCTCTGATTTTAATCAAATTAAAGGGAATATTTATTAAATAAAAACAATGGAAACTGAGATGCTGGTTTGTACTATGAATGGTGTTTCTGTTATTACAATTTTATTTTATTTTACTATTTTTTTTTTTTTTTTAATTCAGAAAGAGCACATTGAAACAATGAAGTTATAGCTCTGTTGCACATTGCGATGCTGAAAATTGCTCTCTAATTTTAATCAAATTAAAAGCAAATATTTATTAAATATAAACAATGGAAGTGAGATGCTGTTTTGTAGTATGAATGTTGTTTCTGTTATTACAATTTTTTTTATTTATTTATTTATTTTTGAAATTCAGAAAGAGCACATTGAAACAATGAAGTTATAGCTCTGTTGCACATTGCAATGCTGAAAATTGCTCTCTAATTTTAATCAAATTAAAAGCAAATATTTATTAAATATAAACAATGGAAGTGAGATGCTGTTTTGTAGTATGAATGTTGTTTCTGTTATTACAATTTTTTTTTATTTATTTATTTATTTTTGAAATTCAGAAAGAGCACATTGAAACAATGAAGTTATAGCTTTGCTGCACATTGCGGTGTTGAAAATTTCTCTCTGATTTTAATCAAATTAAAAGTGAATATTTATTAAATAAAAACAATGGAACCGAGATGCTGGTTTGTACTATGAATGGTGTTTCTGTTATTACAATTTTATTTTATTTTACTATTTTTTTTTTTTTTAATTCAGAAAGAGAACATTGAAACAATGAAGTTATAGCTTTGCTGCACATTGCGCTGCTGAAAATTTTCTCTCTGATTTTGATCAAATTAAAAGTGAATATTTATTAAATAAAAGCAATGGAACTGAGATGCTGGTTTGTACTATGAATGGTGTTTCTGTTATTACAATTTTATTTTATTTTACTTTTTTTTTTTTAATTCAGAAAGAGCACATTGAAACAATGACGTTATAAATTTGCTGCACATTGCGGAGTTGAAAAGTTCTCTCTAATTTTAATCAAATTAAAAGTGAATATGTATTAAATAAAAACAATGGAAGTGAGATGCTGTTTTGTACTATGAATGGTGTTTCTGTTATTACAATTTTATTTTTTTTTTAGAAATGCAGAAAGAGCACAAAAAACTAAACAATGAAGTTATAGCTTTGCTGCACATTGCGGTGTTCTCTATAATACGGCTCTGAAAAAAGTTATATGTTGCACACCTACTGCCCAGTAATTACATACCTCATTATAATGTAGTGTACGTTCACTTGCTCTGGATAACACAGACTGTTAACATGAATCCCTCAAATAAATATATATAGAGGGATTCTTCAGTCCCAGATGAACATTAAAGCTGACAGTTAAATTGATACCTCGGGGAACATTAATAAAACACGTTTACAGTGACCTATGTACGGTATGAAGAACACATGTTATTTCTATCATGCTCTCATTCGAAGTAAAATTGTTTCTTTTTTTTTTTTTTTTTATTAAATGTACATTTTTAATGCAACATTCAAAATAACAAAAAAAAAAATAAACTGAAACAAAAAAGAAAAAAAATGTTCAAATAATGTCATTTCACCCAACCCTAATGAAGGAGGTGCAGCCACTAAAATGCATTGGGTGTATTTTTCCCTTCTTGTAACCAATTGAACCATACCAAACATTGGACTCTATTACAACATTGGACTCCTGACCGAGATTCAAATGTTTCCTGACAATATCCAAACCAATCACAAAAAAAAAAAACTTTTTAGTGCCATTCTACTTTAACAGAAGTTATACGTGTTTAATATTTGTACAGTAATTTTAACTCTACAAAGTAGTTTTTTTTCAGTTTTGCAATATTTTTTTATTTTTTATTTAACAATAAAATAAATTAACCACTTGTCCCCTTTATCCCCTTCCTGACCAGGCCATATTTTTCTATTTGGCACTGAGATAGTTTAACTGACAATCGTGCGGTCATGCAACGCTGTAACCAAAAGAAATGTATATCATTTTTTCACACAAATAGAGCTTTCTTTTTGTGGTATTTGATCACCACTGGTTTTTTTTTATTTTTTTATTATATAAACAGAAGAAAAAAAAACAATATTTTTTACTTTCTTCTATAAAATATATTCAGTAAAAATGCAAAAATATAAAAATTTTTTTTTTATAAATTTAGGCCAATATGTATTCTGCTACATTTTTTTTTGAGAAAAAAAATCCCAATAAGTGTATTTTGATTGATCTGTGCAAAAGTTATAGTATCTTAAAACTATGAGATATATACTGGAATTTTTATTTATATGCTGTATATACAGTTTTTTTTTTTAATTTATTTCAGGTACTTATATAGCAGCGTCAATTTACGCAGTGCTTTACATATATATTGTACATTCACATCAGTCCCTAACCCTCAAGGGGTGTACAATCTAAGGTCCCTAACCCTCAAGGGGTGTACAATCTAAGGTCCCTAACCCTCAAGGGGCATACAATCTAAGGTCCCTAACCCTCAAGGGGTGTACAATCTAAGGTCCCTAACCCTCAAGGGGCGTACAATCTAAGGTCCCTAACCCTCAAGGGGCGTACAATCTAAGGTCCCTAACTCACATTCATACATTCACATACTAGGGACAATTTAGACAGGAGCCAATTAACTTACCAGCATGTCTTTTTAGTGTGGGAGGAAACCGGAGTACCCGGACGAAACCCACGCAGGCACAGGGAGAACATGCAAACTCCAGGCAGGTGGTGCCGTGGTTGGGATCCAAACCAATGACCCAAGTACTGCCAGGCAGAAGTGCTAACCACTTAGCCACTGTGCTGAATATACAGCAAGTTAAACAAGTATTGAACATGTCACCATTTTTCTCAGTAAATATATTTCTAAAGGTGCTATGAAATTTTCATTTCATTTTAATTGTTGGTAACAACCCATGCAATCCATACATGCAAAGAAACCAAAACAAATACGTTCAGAAATGAAGTTATGTATAATAAAATGGAATGACACAGGGAAAAAGTATTGAACACATGAAGAATGGGAGGTGCAAAAAGGCATGGAAAGCCAAAACACCAGCTGAAATCTATCAGTAATTATAAAGCAATCCTGCCCCTAGTCACTGCAAATTAATATCAGCTGGTTCAGTCTCAACTGATGGCCTATAAAAAGGTGCTTCATTACCAAGGTGTCACACAAAACGCAAAAAGCTCTCTCAAGACCTTTGCAACCTTATTGTTGAACTTCTGAATGTTCCAGTGAGCACTGTTGGGGCCATAATCACGAATTGGAAAGAACATCATTTCACCACAAACCGGCCACAATCAGGTGATCTTCACAAGATTTCTGACAGAGGAGTGAAAAGAATTAACAGAAGAGTTGTCCAAGAGCCAAGGACCACTTGTGGAGAGCTTCAGAAAGATTTGAAATTAGCAGGTGCAATTGTTTCAAAGAAAACAATGAGTAATGCACCGCCAT